GCGAAGAAGGACAGCCACCTCGTCATCCGTTGGAAGAGGTGAGGCGAGTTAGTCGCCGTCTTCAAGGATGTGTGGTCTGTGTAGATCACGAAGGGCCTCGAGCCCAGAAGGTGAACACAAAACTTCACAAGGGCATATTTCATTGCCAGGAGCTTCTTGCCGTGGACAGGGTAGCTCCGTTCGGCGGGTTTGAGCTGCCTTGACTGGAACGAGATGACTCGTTCATGGCCAGCCGTGTCGGCCTGCAGCAGTGCCCACCCGATGGCGTAGTCGGAGGTAATGCAGACGACGATAAATGGCTTCGTCTCATCCGGCAGGGCCAGGACAAGGGCCTCTTGTAGACTGGCCTTGGTACTTTTAAAGGCATCCTGGCCCTCTTGCTCTCAGCGTCGGTCGACATCCGTGTAAAGGAGACCCGACAAGGGCTTAGCGAAGCCCGCGTACCCTGCGCTGTACTTGTGAAGGTAGTTGGCCAAGCCCAACCACTTTCGAAGATCCTTCTGGGATCGGGGAGTCGGCCATGCTGCTATGGCCTTGACCTTGTCTGGGTCAGCTCGAACGCCCACGTTGCTTACGAAGCAACCGAGAACTTTAATCTCTGGCGACGCGAAAACGCACTTGTCGATGTTGGCGGAGAGCTTGTTCGCTCGCATTACGTCCAACACTCGACGGAGGTGTCCTAGATGCACCTCCATGGCCGTCTTGCCTCCCTCGGCACGGCTATGGACCAATGTGTCGTCGATGAACGTCTGTACGAAGGCGCGCAGTAGCCTAAACCATTGCGTCACCAGGCGATTGAATGTCGCCGGGGGGTTAGACAAGCCCTGCGGCATGACAAGCCACTCCCAAAGCATGCCGCTTGGAGTGCTCACCGCGGTGAGCGGAATGTCGCACTCGCGCATCAGGATCTGGTAGTATCCGTTTACCAAATCTAGAGCACTGTACAGTACGCACCCGGCCATGTTGTTCAACAACACATCCTTTCGTGGGATTGGTGTTTGGGCCGACACCGTTGCGTTGTTCAGCTTGTTATAAGCGTGAACCAGACGCCACTTTCCGTTCGGCTTCCGAACGCAGAAAGTCGGCGTCGAGTGCGGGGATTTCGACTCCCGCACCATGCCTGCCTTCGCTTTGGCGGCGAAGAAGGCATCAATGACCTCGCACTGCTCGCGCGGAAGAGGCCATTGCCTCGTGACACAATACTTTGTGCCGGGCACGAGATCAATCTCGTGCCGTACGCCTCGATCCGGTGGGAGTTGGGTCGGCGGGTGTTTGTTCACCACGTCCGCATACTTCGTCACCAAAGGATACACCGGATCATTGGGGTTCTTAAGGATCCCAGAACCCAAGCGCATCTGACGCTGCTTGTTTAGGTCTTCCAGGACGTTCTCGTCCAAGCCAGAGGAGGTGTTCAGCTCCTCCCGAGTGGTCTTAGGTCTCATGAGAACCATCTCAGCAATCTCTCCAGCCTTGAGGTTGGCCAGGAGAGACTCAGCCGTCATTTCCTCGAGGTTCAGTATCTCTGCAACCTCTGGCACCGGTTCCAAGTGGACACCAGATGCCTTGACGGGTAAAGCGGTCTCGCCATCGAAGATGTGATACCACTCTTCCACCGGCCTTGTCGGAGGAGCCCGGGCCCTGGCCTCCGAGTCGCTTGAAGCGACGTCGATCGGAACGAAGTTCGGATCCGACTTGAGGCGGCGGCGGCGTCGTTGACGACGGCGACCATGATGTGGAGCTTTGCTGCCCATGTCTAGGGATGTAGGCGCTACGACATCCGAGGCGCTCGAGACCTCGTGTGGTACAGCGTTACTCACATAAGAAGCGTATCCGACGTCTTCCTCTTCAGTTAAGGTCTGGGCGACCGTGAGTGGAACTCTGTTACCCACTCTGAACACGCTGTTCTCAGTGCTCGTGACAGCTGTAGCTGTCTGCGGAACTAAGTTACCCGCCTGTGGACCTAAGTTACCCACTTGGCCAGCGCCTCTTCTGGGCGCTGCCACCATCAAAACATCCTCGGAGTCTTCATATAAGTCGACGACTCCCAAGCATCGGCCGGATGCTTTGGTACCCTGGCAGCCCTTGCGGGCGCCCCGGGTCCTGACAGAGGTGGGAACATGACTCACCAATGCTCTGTCGGACTGCGCAGGGCGGTTGGCACCGATTGCCTTGCCTCGGGTCCTGACAGAGGTGGGAACATGACTCACCAATGCTCTGTCGGACTGCGCAGGGCGGCTGGCACCGATTGCCTTGTCTCGCCAGTCGATCCAGGGCTCGTGCTTCTCAAGCCAGGGCATGCCCAGGATCATATCATATGGATTCATATCGAGAACAGTGAGCTGTTCGAGGCTGTCAAAGTCTTCAAACTTGACGGCCAGATCGACTTGGACGTATGGGACAGTGACGACCTTCCCGTCGGCCAGTCACACTGATACCGTCCCGTTGCCCTTGCTTTTTCTCAAAGCATCGGACAACTTGTTGCTATTACAAGCAGCCGTCTGGCGGCGTGCGAACTTCTTCGACGGCCCAGAATTGATCAAGATTCTAAAGTGGTGATCGTATCCCCGTACACATCCGTGTACTACGAGCAACCCGCCGCTGCTCTTCGCCGATTCGAGAGTGCGAAGACTCTCAGGGGCTAGGTCCTCGTGGTACGCGCCACCCGCGCACCCCTCACGAAAACTTAGTTCTTCCCCAGTAGGGTGCCCCGCCGCTATTAATTTCCGGCGTTCTCCTGTCCCCGGGATCCTGGTTTCTACCAGCGACCCTTGAGGACGGGCTTGGGGAAGGACCGTCTGCGGAGGTTTTCCTCTGAGGAATCGCACTTGAAGTGGCCCATCTTCCCGCAGCCAAAGCAGCGGATGTCACGCTGTTCAGCGGACCCTAGTTCCATGGGAACTGGTCCGTTGGGGCTTGTTCAACCGGGAGCCGACAAGGAACGCCCAGGCCATGCTGAGGCCGGCGTACGCGCCTGGCGATGGCTGTACTCTTCTTGAAGAGCCACTTGAATCGTCTCTTCAAGGGTGCTTGACTGCACCCGGAACAGCTGAGTGCGTGCGGGGCCCACTCGAAGGCCGTCCATGAACACAGTCATCTTGATGTGTTCGTTGAGTGGGTTTCCCACTAGAGACGCCGTGAGCTCCTGTATCTCTTGCACGTACTCGTGCAGTTCGCGCCTCCCTTGTTTACACGAGAGGAAGCGCGAAAGCTGGCGGTACTCGCAGTTCGCCGGGAGGGACGCGGCTCGGAGCTGTTCACACAGCTGATCCCTGGATGTGAAACATCCGGGGGATGTTGCTTCCCGTGTGTACCTCAAACTCGTAGCACGGCTGCTAAAGTTGGAGAGTGCAAAAGCAACACGAAGTTGCTCGGTCGAGATCAGAGCCGCGTCCATCGCGAGCTCTACTTCTCGGACCCAGAAGTGAAGGTTCTCGACTTCCTTCCCTTCGTACGGTTTAACCTTCAGCCGTATTGGCTTCGGGTGTGGCGGATTTGCTTCCGACGATGGAGCCTGCAGGCTCTCCCGAGCATATACGATGAGCCCCTGCTCGTAAGCGTCAAGCGCACTGACCCGCTCGAGCTGCTCGGCCGGTGTTGACACCACCAGGCTCTGCAGGGCAACCATCCCAAAGATACCTGCCATCTTCCAAACCGTCTCGAACTGTAAGTCGTTCAGATAGGAGAAGTCGTTCCTTTCCATGGCAACGAACTTCGGAGAGGTTCAGGTAGTCTACCCGCGGTGGCGTGGATTGACTACGAGTGTTACCAAGTGCGACGGGGTCACATAGCACCTTGCGCTAGAGGAAGTTATCTTCCGAGAGTATACAAACTCTTAGTGAACGGCAGTTCACAGGTCCCCTTTTCATTCAAAAGAGAGTGAAGTGACCTAAATAAGGTAGATTGTAAACTGAGTATATTTATAGGTAGATAAAGCTTAAGCTAAATATATAAACTATAAGTTACCTATAGGAATGCAATGTCGTTTGACCAATGCTTGGCTATGAGCGACCTTGGTACCTTGTACCAAATATCCCGGAGTATGACGTGTCATACACCTGAAGTGTGAAGTGTCACACTTCATGTAACCAGGGTACACTTAGGGCTATGTACCCCCTTACATTAAACGTAATGAAGTGCGAAAGTGATAGTTTCTGTTTTTTTTTAATTTGAAACAGGTTTTTGAACAAATACCCCCAACTGCTTCGAGAAACAGGAAAGTACCTGGTAAAATCTCTTACTTGTGGAGCTTTAGCAACAGAGCCTCCCGTCAATGCGGAAGACTAGGCACTTTAATAAGCTGTGCTTTTAAGTGCCCTGCGCGCATATTCTCCACTTGAGGCTAGACGGTGCCTTACCACGAGTCCAAACCTGACGAAGTAGATCTGACTGACTTGTTGGGGTAGCTGAGTAGGTTATCTTGGCCTGCTGGGCCGCCACACACAAGACGTGAAGTACAACGAGCACGTGGCCATTCCGACCCGACGCTCGGAACTGACTCGTTTCCGAAGAGTCTGTTGCCGCATCAGAAGCGGTGCTGTACAGTGGTTTAGAGTGCTGGAGACCTTCTTAGAGCACAATCTACTGGCTACTATAATAGTCGCGTGTATAACATTATTTCGCTGGTAGAAGTTGGCAAACTTCTGCAGATAGAAACAGCCAATGCCGAGCGTGTGGTAGCAATAAGGACGGTAAGTGCCACCAGCACTTGGGTTTTCTTAAGTTTCAGAACTCGGAGGATCAAGTGCTGGCGTGTTCATTAGCTCGGTGTGGACTTCAATGCTAGCTAATGCGCGGAGCAGATCGAGCAGCCATACCCGGACACACCACACACGCAGAATGCTGCTGCCATGGCTACTGCTCCTTAAAACCTCCCTTAAACTGATGACAATTGGCTTTACCGTTGAAAAGATTAACTATCAGCTGATGTTAAGAGCTCTGGTGACTGTACGTGTATTGACCAACGCTTTTATCGAAATGCGTCGATTTGGCTCAAACACATATTAAGCCTTGGATCTAGCTTTCTCCTTCTTCACCAACCTGGCTGCCATTTTCTCGAGGAACGCTTTGTAGTATGCTTCCTGTTGTCCCTTGGAAAGAAACTTGTTAACTCCCAGGCCCAACAGGCCCTTAACCTTCAAATTTGAGAATAACCCCCTCTCCTCATCTTGAACAGACTTGTTTTCAGTACCCCGAAGCTTGTGTGTACTATCGCCATCGCTCTTGCTTTTCAATGAGCGAACGTACGAAGGCACGTCCGGTGTGGTCATGGTAGGCAACTTGGCTTGGCCGTTTGCTGCAGCAGCTGAAATCCCATGGCTTCCTAGAACGAGGGCGAACGCAGCAATTATTAGTAGGACGGCGAACTGGCGCATGACTCGCTTAGTGCATGTCGGTCGGCAAAATTACAACTGACCATCGCAGGAATATCATGTAAAAACTTATTAATTGAATAGAACTTCGAAGTACACGTACATGTACTGTATAATACCACAGAGCCAGTTCTTGGCTGATAGTACATATCGTATTCAATTATTACACGATGGGATTTGGAGCGTTCCTCATACAGACGATCCTCTAGCGTCGGGAGGCCGGATTTTATGACTATAAAGAGGGACTACCATTCTGAGCTGTACCCAATATACGGTCCACACAACACTGGGATTAATAGCAACGGGCGGCCGGCGTCGCGGTTTGATAACTGCGAAGTGGCTTGATTGGTGCCGGCTTGCAGTGACATTTATCAATTTCCCGCCCAACACTACAATGCTGCTTACACCTTCACCCACTAAGACCCCACGTCGCGAAACAGACTGACGAATGCACAGCGACGACTATTGTGCCGCCACAAAGTCGATAATCCACCATTGAGCCAGGTCCAGCTTAGGTTGTGGGCTCAAAACGTGTTTCAGCGCTTAATCGCAGGAAACAATTAGAAACGTTCTGAATCAGGAACACCTACGCGAAAAGCCATAACATTGCAAGCTCTGACTGCAAAGTCGCACCGTTCGGTTCGCTTTCCCGAGTTAGACTCAGAGCTCACGAATTGGGTCGGCTGGCTAGCAAGAAAACGCTTTACTATTGCACTAACGTGCAATGCGGATGGATTCGAACGTTTGCCACCTCTTTTTGCGGTAAAATCAAGGAGAAAACACCTGATGCCACTGTTATTAATCTTCAATCGACACTGACAGCACGGACATAATCAACAGCTAAGTGCCTATGAATAACTATATCCGTCATTGTCGTATAACTATTCACTAATATTCGGGAGAACCTCTCAACCACCATTTATATGGAGGGAGTTCTTAATGGGGATATGAATACAGAGAGGATCGTCTGTGTCGGTAGCGCTGGTTTAAGCTGGTTTCGTGCCTTTCATTAAAACTTTCCGAAAATCCAGATGATTTGGTAAACATTTTATCGTACTTCTTCTTTTTTTCTCCTCCTTTTGCTCAAAGACCGAAACTGCCGGGAAATAGCTATGTTACTCCTATTTGATCTTTCACGAATTATCGAAACTCTATAAATAATGATTTAAAACCTTAAGTTTGCTACAAATGTCATATATATATAGTAAACAAACTCCACCTGGCATATTAACTGAAAAGCACAAAACCTCAATACGACAGGTGTTTATAACTCTATATGTATATAAATGTATTGCAATACACGTATAAACTGTTTACAATTTTGCACTCTGACCATTAAAATAATACAAACGTCCAAAATTTCGTACACAAATTAGTACAGTAATAAGGTCGTGTGTATAATATTGCATTCACACTTTTCCTATTCCCAATTTAATGTTTTTTTATGCTGTACAGACAGCTTCGGCTGTCACTGTAGCGGAGGTGCTTGGTCTAACCTCTCGTATAGATTCGTGCGCTGATAAGATAGCTATTGATCAGATGAAGATACTCATCTTTGTATTGTATTTTAACAAAACAATGTATTTTTTCATTAAATACTACAATGTTTTCTATTCTACGAACATGTTGGTCGAGCAGCTTGCGTTGCTGTCCAGACTCTAAAAAAAATTTAAATCCGTTTCGTTATGCATTCGATGTAGCGTTATTTCGTGACGAACAATATAGAGCGCTTAGCCCAAGACAGCGAAATGAAATGCTTGCCGATGAATTTATTTGCCTAAGGTTGAAGAGTCGTCAGATATGAGAGTTGGACGAATGCTAGAAGCTCGATTTCGATACATACATGCTGAGGTATCTTTTTTATGTTGCATTTGGACGCGCAGACATTTCCACTGTGGAAACGATATTGAATGAGCTTCTCTGCATGTACTATGTTTTCCCCCGAGGTATGCGGCAACCCACTGCTGGAGATCGAAGTGTTTAAGGCTGCGGCTGGCAGTGTGATGCCGAGGAAGGTCATTTTTCTTGTAGATAGTGAAGTGTTCATAGCTTTGCTGTTGGGAATTTCTTAAGTGGACGACGTGGCATGTACTTCTCTCATTATACGCCAATTTGCCTTGACCAAGAGCCGCTCGTTCATCCTTACAGTCTTCTAGCAGATTTGAACTGATTTATTTTAATATGGAAACACATGGGAATGGATCAGACCGCTCAAATATCGGATTTCCTCTTAAACCCGGCGCCACTATATCCGAAATTGTCTGTAGCAGTGCAGAAAACTTTTTACCACTTAGATTGTGGTTTACGGTACAGTACATGCACCGTAGTCACTACCTTCCTAGCAAATGTAGCTGGGCGCTCTTCGTCAGATTGAGGAATTTACTCGAATCTATCAAAATGTCCCGTATGTCCTACAGTTTTTGAAGTCTGCGTAGTCGCTTCAAGCAGTAGATCTTCCAGCTCCCCAAGCGATTTCTTGCGGCCACCACCGGAAAGACGTTGCTGGTAAGGTTTAGCTGGCCAAATCTCTTCGCGGTTGCGCCACCAGCGTCTCACAGTTCCTTCCAGCCACAACTTCTAAAGTGCGACACAGAAGTCCCCCTCAATAAGCGTAGGGAGTCGTCTGATAAATTTGCATAGGGAAATCAATGCTATCTGGTGAATTCTCAATTGTAGTTCCGATTCTTTTGATCCGATATAAAGGGGGATAGAAAGTGCACGCTAAGCTTATTCAGGGCGAATTCTGTATTCACTTTATCTTTGCAGCAAATCTGGGTAGAGGAACGTTTGCCAAACGTCTCCATTCGAATTTTGGTACTATCGATTGTAGTTCGGCGAGTACGATTTACAACAACAAAGCCGATAAGGCCTTGGATTTTGTCAGCAAAAACTAAGAAAACATATGCGCCTTTTTATTTGTTTGAGGTTTTTGTGCTAATATGCCAGGTGGAGTTTGTTTACATATATATATATATGACATTTGTAGCAAACTTAAGGTTTAAAGTCATTATATATAAAGTTTTGATAATTCGTGAAAGATCGTTTTCATATGCAAATAGGAGTAACATAGCTATTTCCCGGCAGTTTCGGTCTTTGAGCAAAAGGAGGAGAAAAAAAGAAGAAGTACGATAAAATGTTTACCAAATCATCTGGATTTTCGGAAAGTTTTAATGAAAGGCACGAAACCAGCTTAAACCAGCGCTACCGACACAGACGATCCTCTCTGTATTCATATCCCCATTAAGAACTCCCTCCATATAAATGGTGGTTGAGAGGTTCTCCCGAATATTAGTGAATAGTTATACGACAATGACGGATATAGTTATTCATAGGCACTTAGCTGTTGATTATGTCCGTGCTGTCAGTGTCGATTGAAGATTAATAACAGTGGCATCAGGTGTTTTCTCCTTGATTTTACCGCAAAAAGAGGTGGCAAACGTTCGAATCCATCCGCATTGCACGTTAGTGCAATAGTAAAGCGTTTTCTTGCTAGCCAGCCGACCCAATTCGTGAGCTCTGAGTCTAACTCGGGAAAGCGAACCGAACGGTGCGACTTTGCAGTCAGAGCTTGCAATGTTATGGCTTTTCGCGTAGGTGTTCCTGATTCAGAACGTTTCTAATTGTTTCCTGCGATTAAGCGCTGAAACACGTTTTGAGCCCACAACCTAAGCTGGACCTGGCTCAATGGTGGATTATCGACTTTGTGGCGGCACAATAGTCGTCGCTGTGCATTCGTCAGTCTGTTTCGCGACGTGGGGTCTTAGTGGGTGAAGGTGTAAGCAGCATTGTAGTGTTGGGCGGGAAATTGATAAATGTCACTGCAAGCCGGCACCAATCAAGCCACTTCGCAGTTATCAAACCGCGACGCCGGCCGCCCGTTGCTATTAATCCCAGTGTTGTGTGGACCGTATATTGGGTACAGCTCAGAATGGTAGTTCCTCTTTATAGTCATAAAATCCGGCCTCCCGACGCTAGAGGATCGTCTGTATGAGGAACGCTCCAAATCCCATCGTGTAATAATTGAATACGATATGTACTATCAGCCAAGAACTGGCTCTGTGGTATTATACAGTACATGTACGTGTACTTCGAAGTTCTATTCAATTAATAAGTTTTTACATGATATTCCTGCGATGGTCAGTTGTAATTTTGCCGACCGACATGCACTAAGCGAGTCATGCGCCAGTTCGCCGTCCTACTAATAATTGCTGCGTTCGCCCTCGTTCTAGGAAGCCATGGGATTTCAGCTGCTGCAGCAAACGGCCAAGCCAAGTTGCCTACCATGACCACACCGGACGTGCCTTCGTACGTTCGCTCATTGAAAAGCAAGAGCGATGGCGATAGTACACACAAGCTTCGGGGTACTGAAAACAAGTCTGTTCAAGATGAGGAGAGGGGGTTATTCTCAAATTTGAAGGTTAAGGGCCTGTTGGGCCTGGGAGTTAACAAGTTTCTTTCCAAGGGACAACAGGAAGCATACTACAAAGCGTTCCTCGAGAGAATGGCAGCCAGGTTGGTGAAGAAGGAGAAAGCTAGATCCAAGGCTTAATATGTGTTTGAGCCAAATCGACGCATTTCGATAAAAGCGTTGGTCAATACACGTACAGTCACCAAAGCTCTTAACATCAGCTGATAGTTAATCTTTTCAACGGTAAAGCCAATTGTCATCAGTTTAAGGGAGGTTTTAAGGAGCAGTAGCCATGGCAGCAGCATTCTGCGTGTGTGGTGTGTCCGGGTATGGCTGCTCGATCTGCTCCGCGCATTAGCTAGCATTGAAGTCCACACCGAGCTGATGAACACGCCAGCACTTGATCCTCCGAGTTCTGAAACTTAAGAAAACCCAAGTGCTGGTGGCACTTACCGTCCTTATTGCCACACGCTCGGCATTGGCTGTTTCTATCTGCAGAAGTTTGCCAACTTCTACCAGCGAAATAATGTTATACACGCGACTATTATAGTAGCCAGTAGATTGTGCTCTAAGAAGGTCTCCAGCACTCTAAACC